GACACAGTACTTCTCTTACAGAAAGATTACCTCTGGAAGTTCACAAGCAATGCCTGGAGGAAGAAACCATTCTAACCCTTGATGGCTAAAGCACAGAGAGAAGAGGTAGCATCAGAGGGGAAAATCTTGCCCAGCACCATCTTCCAAAGGCTACTTACAGCACAGGAGTGGCTAGGAGCTGCTCCCCTTTTCCTGTCTCAGCACCAAAGCTGACCACAGAGCTTTGCAGAGAAGTCACCAGTACTGTTAGAAGCTGACACTAAAACACATTTTGAGGCTATTCCAACACCTGCCCTCTCTATCCAAAAAGCCATCAATAGCAATGCATTTTCTCTATACAAAGAAACACACCACATATCTAACTGAGGGGGGTGCACTTAAAAAAAAAGACAAGACTTCAACCCAATGTTTCCAGACACTATAACATTAAACTACCCGGTTGTGGGAAGTTGCCTAAGTGGGAATTTATATAAATAACTTCTATCTTAAGACTCTCATAAAATCAGCGCCATCACAAAGTCATTGGGAGGGGGGGAAGGAAGTCAGTAAGGAGAGTCTGGAGGAGGAGTGAGGTCACTCCCAGCTCCCATGGGACAATTAGCTGCAAATAGCTTCACTCACCACTAACCAGCCTTTCCTGGCAAAACTGGCAAGGAGACAAGGTGTGGTGAGCCATGAAGAGAAATTCACTCTCTTCTAATCTGCCTCTTCAGGTGATTGACTTGTCCAGGTTCATTTTAAGCAACCTGAACAGAGGCACAGCTATGCTCATTACTGCTGCCTGGGTTGTATCTGTGCTGGAGATGACCAGGCAGCTGCAGGCTCCCAGCAATCAGCTCAGCAGCCTCCAATCGCATCCATGACATGTTCTGCAGCCTGGGGAGGGAACACTGGGTCGGCAAGGTCAGCTTTTAAGGTATTATCTCATCTTCTTGAAGCCTCACTGCTTTACTGCACTACATAACATGTTGCAGTAATTTTCTTTGCTGAATCAGAAGGACCTTTTTTTACTTTTTTGCCACAGGGTTGGTCAGGGGCCACATGAACACCATACCTGGGCAGAGAGGAACACTTTCCGGTTAGACACAAAAAATTTCAGGCCATGACACCACCTCTCTATGCTCTTGGTCACTCTCCATTATACAACATTCTCAAATAGCTGATCCTTTCAGCTTCATCAGATTCCTGGGCACTGTGACTACAAGATAATAATAGCAATATTCCCATCCTTTCAGTGCAGAGACACACTTGAGAGTGAGCAGGCAAATATCCAGGTATTCTATGGATTAATGCTGCAAGTACAGCATGACAGTTATTTCCCTTTTCAGGTTTCCTGTCAATTATGCCCCTCAGAGGCTATAAAGACCTGGTCAAACACAGATACAGCACAGTTCCTGAGCAGCTTGCCTATACACTGCACTTTCCCTGGAGACAGCTTGCTCTGTTGCTTTTCCAGACACGTTACTTACACAATCACAGACAAAAACCCAGTGGAAGTTGAGCTGACCTTTAGATTAGACAGAACCTGGCTATGAGCAAGTATTCCAGTTCCCTGCCTCTCTCTAGAGGAGAGAGACACTGAGGTGAGACTCCTTGAGTGTGGCTGCAACTCACTGCTTTAGCTGGCAGAATTTCGCTTCCAAAACCGTCCTGGGGAATTGCTGCTCTAAAAGCACGTCCAGCTGTTCTCTCCAAAAGTAGTCCATAAAGAAGGAACAAAAAAAAAGAAAGAAAAATGCATGGGGAAAAAAAACACAACACCATCAAAACCCCTTCCATATGGGTGATTTCAGTCCATTCACAGCAACATCTTAGAGTTATTTTAGCTAAGTGTTTTAATCCATTTTATCAGAGTGTCAAACCACTTTCAGAATCTCAAGTGTTCTGGTAGGGTGTAATGTCTTGACAGGAAACCACTCTTCCACCACAAGAAAGCAAACCCCAAAGAGTTTGGGAAGAAGCGAGAACAGCAAACAACACACACTTGCTTCAAGCAAACAGCTGGGCAAGTCAGCACTCAAAACTCAAATACAATTATGCTCTCTGCAGCACCTTAAATTTCCAGGCCCTCGGCGAGCCCAATCAATCACAACCACTAAAACAACGAAAAGCTTCTGCCCCCAGCCCTGGCCATTCAATAACACACAGCTGCTTTGTTACACAGACAGCCAGCAGCAGTCCTGGACTAGAAAAGCTCGACTGTACAAAGGTTAAGCGCAATTTCTCTCTGAGACTGTATTATCCTCGTCATTTTGTAGATAAGCTACCCTGTAAATTCACTGCTGCTTTCCTTGGTTTCCTCGATTTTAGGCTGAAAACACTGAGAAAACTAGTCACAGAAGTGGCTCTTCAGAATCAACAAGTCTGATTTGAAACTCTGTATTTTTCCTCAGACTTCAGTACTCTGAACAGTACAACACTGGGCTCTTGAAGCAGTTAGGACCAAACAATAAACATCTCCTCACAAATTCACTGCACCCACCACCCACAGCTGCAAGAGTTTAAAGAATATCCTTTGAGCTGCTGGAAAGTGAAACAGGCACTTCTGCTAGGGGAGCAGGTAAGAGTTTATCTCCATCACTGCCAACATAAGCCAATTAAACATGAACCCAAAACAGGAGGGGAGAGGGAGCGAAGGGTCACATGGAAATTAAAGGGTTGTCATCTACATCAAAATATAATTATTAGATGTTTACGTTAATTCAGCAGTAGAACTGGGTAGAGAAAGGGACTACCTTTTTATTTTTTGGGGAGGAGGGTAGTATTTCAAAAGTTAATCTGAACTGGAAAAAAACCCACCCCACCCTTCCTTTATCCATGAGAAGAAAAGAACCCTAATCCCTCAACTGTAAACCACAAAAAGCTCACCTCCCAGCCTGCTACCAGCAAACAGGCAAACAAGCTGAGAGAGAACAAGAAGATTTCTCGCTGGATTCTGTCAAATGGTTAGAGACTGGCCAGCTCAGAATGTTTTTGTTATGCCAAACCAGCCAGACACGCTGAACTTCATATTCTGACCATCTTGTGCATATCTAAGAACTTTCCCCTTTTAACTGCCACGCGTCCCAAGGAGACAGACAAGCAAAAATACAAAAGTTGCCTGTACAACAAAAGTACAAAAGTGGCTGGGAGGTGCTCTTCCCCTTGCCCCACATTTCCAAAACACCACCTGCTCAGCGCTGACTGTAGAAACCTGCGCAGAATACAAAGAAAAACATCTGCCCACACCCCCGAGCTGGCTGGGAACACTGACTTCAGTAGTAAAGCTTTCCTGATCATTTTACAGCAAGATCGAATCACTCCTGCTCCAGATGCAGGGGTGCCCACCTGCTGCATATGTACCACTTAGGCTTTACAGCAAAACCCTAACACTGATGGTATCAAGGACCTAAAAACCTGCTCCACTAGACCAGAGCAGATTTGAAGCCCATTTTCTTGGGGGCAATGGTGCAAAAAAGCCTGAAGTAGGCCTTTGGAGAATAACTTTACCATAGGAAAAGCTCTCCCTAATGCCCTATTGTTTGGCATTTAGTCAACATCCTAAAAGCATGAGAGTTTACTTTTTTCAACAGTGCCACACAAATACAAACCTTTAGTACTAGAAACCTGAATGACATGAACATCTCTGGAGAAATCTGTGTTCCCTTTAAGGGAGGCTACTAAGCTCTTAGAGTCAAGGGTAACATCCACCAACACAAGTTCAAAGGCACAGTTAACTGCTGTGTTAAAAGAGGCGAGTCTTTGTTAGTGGGATGTATGCTTTATTATGTTTTCATCGATTGTTTTCCTTTTCTTGCAGGATAAGAAAGACGTTTCTATTCATCCTATTAGCCTTTGCTCTAATATTGATCAATAACTTCTATTTTTATCTTTGACAGAGGTAAACAGTCTTTTCTCTGGGGAAACCTGTCCTTACGTCTTCAATAATTATTCCTGTTCAAGCTCCCTACGTGGCAAGAACAGTTTCAAACTTCCTGTAGGCAGGAACCATCTTCAGCATTTCCTCTGGATTTCCCACTCCTCCTCTCCTCCCACTCTTGACGGCTTCACAGTGCTCCAGGCAGCTTTCATAAAGCTGTGCCTGAAACCACTCTAGTCTCTTTCCACAATTCATCAGAACCCAGTCACGCACACGTTCCTCCAAAGCCCTCCTTCCACTACACACTGCAGCTGCCAAGGCTGAGTTAGCCCTCACGGAGCAACCGAAATTTCAGAACATCACCAGCATCCAAACAAGACCCATCATAACTCACCTGAGATGCAAGAGAACACAGGCACAGCAACGGTCTCCTCACACACACCTACCGCACCAGCACATGCACACGGTGTCTGTCAGTCGGCTCAGCCTGAACCACAGGCAGCCACAGCAAACACAAACCTGTTGCCCACCACCCTGCTGTGGTCTACTGTGCTCCCAGCCCACCCAGGGCCACAACAGTGACAGCCTCCCAGTGCCACCCAGGAGAGAGGCAGCACCGGGGAGCGCGGGGGCTGTGCCGGTGCGTGTGTGTGCAGGGGGAGCGGGCGGGTGGGCTGAAGCAAGGACGTGTGGCGGGCGCGGGAAGGAACCGGGTGGGCTGCATCGGGAGAGGCGGACTATCCCCCCGGGGGTGTACTATCCGGAGGAGGTTCTGCGGGCTGCACGGGGAGTTTGTGGGGAGATGCGTGTGTGTGTCCGCTCGGAGATCTGCGGGAGGAATGTGCGCGGACGGGGAACGGCGGGGTGACCCTGGGACGAACGGGGGGCACGGCGGGGGGAGCCGGGCGGAGGGCTGCGGGCAGCGCACGGCGGCGATCGCGGGGGCCACGCCAGGGAGCGGGAGGAGGGATCGGGGAGGGAGGTGGGGGTGTCATGTCCACACCTGGACGATGCGAGCGAGTTCGTGGGGGCCGCACCGAGCCACTCCCCCCCCCCCCCAGCGCTGCTCCTCCGGCCCGCCCGCAGCCGCCCCCGCGCCCCGGCTCGGCTCAGCGGCCACCCTGCCCCCGCCGCGTCTTACCCTGCAGCGGGCGGGCGGGCGCGGGCCAGCCCGGTGGGGCGAGGAGGGGTCGGGTCGGGCCCTGCCCGCTGCCCCGCGGGCGGCGCCGGCACCGGCGCGGGGGCGCGGAGGCCTCAGGAGCCCATGGCGACGCCGGGCCCGGCTCGGCCCGCCCTCCGCGCCTGCGCACGGCCCCGCGCGCCCCGCCCACCGCCCACGCGCCCGCAGGGCCGGGGTGACGTCACCGCCCCGCTCTTAAAGGGGCGGCGCCGCTCAGGAGGTGACTCGGGGTTGCAGCAGAGCTGGGAAGGAGGATGAGATTCCCGGAGATCGGCGCTTCAGCAGCGCTCTCTCCCCAGCAGGCCGGCTAAGGACAGCACTGCCCTGGGGAAGATTCCCCTCGAGGCAGATTTCCACCTCTAGCTCAGTGCCGTTTCTGCCCACACTCCGAGGGGGGGGGTGGGAATCATACATAGAGGTGTTGCGAACGTCCCCCAAACTCCCCAAGGAAAAAAAAAACATATAGGTATAGGTGTTGGAAACCAAAGTGGTGCCTCTTTTGCAAACCAAGCCCTAAAACCTTTAATAAGCCCACAAAGTGCCTGCACAGAAGGCTGCATGAGCAAGAGGAGGTGACATCCCATTTGAGATATGCTTGATGACTTTCTCCTTTTCTCCTGCTGCTTTAGAAGGACACTTGCCCTCTCAAAACACTGGTGCAACCGTGGAGCTGCTACCCCACACCTCCCGAAATGGCAGCACGTTTCCCTTCTGTTGCAGGACAGAACTCCTACTCAAAACTCAGCAACCACTCCTGAATCCAGCCAGATCGTGGCTCTGCTGCCTCCACCACACTGCAGTGATGGGGGTGTTGTCTTCCACACAGGCAATGTTCCTCTTTCTCACTGAAAACAGGATTTACAAAGGAAAAAAGTCCAGTTTCATTCTGATCCATCAAAACCACAGTCAAAATGGAGGTAGGACAAATGCAGTTTAGAGGCAACAGTACAACACTCCTGAACTACCCTCTTCTTCCCTCCTACTCTTCTCTCATCCCAGAAGCTTCACACAGCAGGGAAATGAAGGAGCAGCTCCTCCTGCTCAGCTGGCAGAGAACAGGCTTGGAAGGAATTTGCAAAGTCACCAAGATCCATCCATTTATTCCCAGCAGGTGTTTCTGAAAATCAGTTTCAAGCATTTTAGAGAGCCTGGAAGTAACAGGCCTCTCATCTGGATAATGCGGGGATGTGTAACTACAGGAGCAGCGATTTAGAAGTAAATCAGCATTAAAATGTAGTAATTTACTGCCAGACAGGTCAGACAACCAAAGGAGGGAAACCCAAACAAACCACACCACCACAGACACCAAAGCAGCAGGTGCCACTTCACAGGGAGTTCAGCCTGTTTTCATCAGGCACAGCGCTGTTGTCAGGTGCTCAGGGCTGCCGCCCAGGCCACTCCTCTTCCCATTCCTTCAGAATTTAAGTTCGTAGAAGAAAGCGAGAAAACACATAATCCAGGGTCCACCTCTGTTGAAGTCAGTGCACACCCAAAGCCAACAGCACAGACAGTCCCATCCCTTTCCTGCTGAAGGCCAGACGCATGGGACGCCAGAGGCTCAAATCCAGGAACCAAGAGATCCTGAATCAGATTTCACATAACTCTTGCCTGTTCCAAGGCTGCAACAGCAGAGATCAGCTCAGGTTTATTTTTAGGCGCTCCAGTCCTGTGCCTTTTTTCCAGTAATTCTGATCAAACTTGTTCCTGGAACTCAGAAACAGGTTCAGCCGCAAGACAGTGCTTCCTGCATGTAAGATGTGACTCCCAGCAAAGATACCAGGGCCAGTGAAGGAAGAAATGACAGATGCTGGCGTCACTTTATCATTTTCTACTTTATTACTTCAAATTAACAACCACGATAAAGCTCAAAAAAGTCCAATATTTACACAGGAAAAAAGTACAAAATCCCCCCCAAAGTTCTTCAGGTTTTTTTTTGTTTTTTTAAATTACAAAGTAATAAAAAGTTTTGCTCTTTAATTAAAAAAAAGAGAGAGACAGTAAGAGGGGTAAATAAATTAGGAAAAAAACAGGGAGGAAAAATAAAGTGTTAAATAGAAAGGGTAAAAACAAACAAAACAAAGACTAACCCCACCCTCCCCGCCCTGCCAACAACCCATCGGCTCCACACTACAGTGACAGTGTGTCTGCTACAGGCCATAGGTCGCAGTGGTGATCATTGTGTTTCAAAGCCCCAAGTGCCACAAAGCAGCTTGAGTATTTCTAAATTATATTTAAAAACAACTAAAGTGGGGGGGGAAGGGGGGGGGCAGACGGATGGGAGAGGGCAGGAAGGGATTGTGCATGTATTGGTGGATCTTACTTGGGGTTGCATGAGGGAAGGAGAGAGCAAGAGCCATCGCTCTGATAGAACTCCAAACTCCAGTTTTTGTGCGCTCCTCTCTTCTCCTCAAGTCCCACACTCTCTCCGCAGGAATTAAAACAAGTTTTAATTAAAAAATAAAAATAGAAAAACACGCACAGCCAGACGAAAAAAAGACCCCGCTGCAGGGATGAGAAGTATATTTCTCCCTGTTTTCCAGCTCCAACGATCCCATCCTCCATGGCACCAGGTGCCTCTTCATAGAGATCCCTCCGTGTGTGAGGACTGCTCGCTCCAGGGAAGGCTGGCACTTCTCCCAACAGCCAAAAAAGAAACCGCAGAGAAGCCACCCAAGGAAAGGAAGCCCGAGTCAATGATTAGGCTGTTGCCACAATTCCCCTCACAGCTTAAAATTCGTTTAATGCTCGAGAAAATAAATTCTGTTATAATAATAAAAATCAGACTTCTACCATCAAGTGTGGCTGGAATCTGATTTGCTCCTGGCCCAAAAGGCTCCTGAAAAGAACAAAACCAAAGAAAAAAAAACAAACGAAAAACTCACCCCCTCACCATCCCCTGCCCTCAGATAAAAAGGAGAGCAAAGTTAAAATTTATATGGCTAGAAACCATATGATTTCAAAATCATATTTAACAAAAAAAAAAAATCAGGAGAAGATATCCAAGAAGAACAAAACAAAACAAAACAAAAAAAAAAAAAAAAAAGAGAGAAAATCAAAACCAGGAGCAGAGAGTCAGGAGAGGGAACTGGGAGTAGCCTGTGGGGGCAGCGGTCAGGGCTGGGGGGGGCAGTGGAGGTGTTCCCACATGGCTCCCACGTCGTCAGCTCCTCGCAGGTGTCGCACTGGGGGACGCAGGTGACCCTCTCGGAAACGGCTCACACTAGCGCGGGGGCACAGCTCGACTCCTCATCGTTGGCAAAAAGAAATTCTGTTGGGTTTTTTTGTTTGGTGTTTTCTTTTTTTTTTTTCTTTTTTTTTTTTTTAGTTTTTATTTGTTTTTTGGGTTTTTTGTTTTTTAAAAGAAAAATACAGTGAAGACACTAGAAAGAGAATTCAAAAGAGAGAAGAGACATTAGGAGAAAATATTCTTCCCAGCACTTCCAATGCCAGCTGGAGCATAACAAATCATATCAGCCCTTTCTTCTACACTCCTGCCTCCCTCTTGGAGTTACCTTGCCCCGCTACACTGTCATTTCCTCTACAAGAGGCACTCACTAGCTGTGCAAAGTCTCACATACTTGATTACATGCTCAGCACCCTCCTCCCCTACACTGTCACACTGCCAGAAAACCATTCACGAGGAACCAACAAAATGGCTCCCTAGCCCAGCACCTTATCCACCCTCCCTACCCTCCTGGAGAAATGGAGGCTACCTTCACACTTAAGACAATCCATCCCCTCCAAGTTTTTGGTAGCCAACCTTACTCTTCCCTCTGAAGCCAAAAAACATCTCAAAGTAAGATGAAAGGAAAGGAAATGTACCAATCCCCCACAACATCAGCAAAGTCTTAACCTAAGGCTTTTTTTTCCCAGCAATTCCATCCTTGGGGGTTCCCAGTCATGAGGACAGACTCACCTAAGCAAACACTGGTCCAGTGGCAATTGCTCCTCACTTCCCAAGGTGATCAAATGGCACACTTGTCTACAAAAGAAAAAGAAGAGTTGCTAAGGGTTGGAGAGGAAAAAGAAGACATGAAAGCAGAGAGGCTGCACGTTTCTTTTAGGACATCCTCCCTCCCAAGAGTTTATTGTTCCACTTCTCCAAACCACTGTGGTCTGGAAGAGAACCAGACAAAGTCTTACTCCAAGCAAAGCAGAGCTAAGATGACAGTACTGAGCATGGCCTCCAGAAAATATGTAACTGAAGAGTGAAGGTGTAACTTGGTACCAACTCTCCTCACCACACTGGAAGCTTCAGGCTCATATCAGCTCCAGCAGATCAGGTAAAAACTATTCTGGGGCCCATAGTACTTCTGGAACATCCAGGCCAAGGCCACGAACATGGCAGCAGGGACTCACCTGTGATGCTGAAATCCGTGACACTTCTTGCCGCCCTGTGAGGTCAGATGAGGAGACGTTGGCAGGAGCTCCTCGGTGTAACCTCATGCTGACCTTACGCTCCCTGTCCACTCTTGAGATTGCTCTGGGGGACGTGTTGCCTGTCAGGGCAGTGAAACGTCAAGGCAAGAAGATCAGTCGATGATTTTGGTTTCTAGCCCACAACAGGGGTGGCACCCTCCCCAAGCTCTCCCATCCCACTCACCGGACTGCTGGATTCGGGAGGTGGGGGTGGAGGCCATGGGCTCGGTGACATTGCGAAGACGGTTGGCAGTGGCTCCAGCAGGCGGGCCAGGGGGCAGTGCTCGCGTGGCTGACCCTCGGAGTTGCCCCATCCTCTCCTCTCGTTCATGCTCTCGCCGCTCCCGATCCATATCCTCAGGGTTCCGAGCTGCACCCTGAGGAGAGAAACCCCCATAACGCACATGGCTGTCAGGCAGGAGAGACAGCAGCAGCCCCAGACAGAAAACACGTGGTACTCCATCATGCCCAGGAAGTGGAGCACCACCCCCAGAACATGGTCTCCCCTCACCATATTCCACTGCACCGAGAGAGGACCTCATTCTGTTCCATGAAGAAACAGAGAAGAAAGCATATAGTACTACAGCTGCTATTGGAATCCACTCTGTGTCCCGCCTCCAATTATAATCCTCTCCTGAAAAATTATCTCTACCTATCTATAGCTACAGATCAGATGTACTCACTAATACTACAGTAGCTATACCCTCAGTTTGCCCCAACTCTGCCTCTCTTCACTCTACCCATCCCCTTTGCTAAGTTGTTCACCAGGGCTAAGTACAAACAGCAGGCAGTTTGCAACTTTCCTTCCCCTCTCCATAATATAAACCACCTTTTGCCACACACACACTCACAAATTTAAGCATGTTCCAGTCAAAGACGTAGTCGTAGGAGAAGCCTTGGCGGTGGAAGAGGTTGCGGAAGAGTTGCCGCAGGTACGAGTAGTCAGGTTTATCATCGAACCTCAGCGAACGGCAGAAGTTGAGGTATGTTGAGAACTCAGCTGGAGAGAACAGAGAACAGTTGGCTGTAGAACACCATCCAACCTCCCATGCCCACCATAGAGCCACTGCAGCATTTCAGCAGTAGCTTGCTGGACCAGGAAAGCACAAACACAGAGCTGTATAACAAAAATCTGAGCCTCTTGGTTGCAGCGCTTTGGCCACTAAGAAAACCCCATCTCTATTTTTACCAGGGAAAATGCTCACGCATCTCTCTTTGTCGGCTTCTCCAAGCAACACTTAGCAAGTCCTGCTGAGCCTGAAGGACAGTAAGAATGCAGGTCTAAAAGAAGTCAAAGGACAGTAAGAATGCAGGCATAAAAAAGAGGTGAGCTTTGGGGATTTCAGCTCAAACCAGAAGTCCTCCTAGTTCAGCAGTCTATCTTAAGCAGCAGCTAGAGGTAGATAGCTACAGAGGAGAACGTGTGGGGCAAGCACGTCTGACACTTCTGTTGACATTAGCCCAACTTCCACCTACTTTCAGCTCCAGGAACTTCCTGATCTGGATGTGGTTTCTGACTATTTAGTAAACCTCAATGAATCTCTCTTTTATGTACTTGTCCCATCTCTCCTTGAACTCCTGTAAGCTTCAAGTACCCACATCAGCTTCTGGGAATGAGTTCCACTACTACTATTACAGTCTACTACTGGTTGTGTGAAGAACTGCATCATTTTGTTTTGAGGCTAGCAGAAACCAGCTTTGTTTCTCTTCCAATACAAAAACTGGGGCCACCTAATAATTGTCTCCCACCCAGATTTCTGCAGGCATAGCGAGTGCATAGACTTCTATCATCTCTCTAATCACCTCTTTTCCAGGTTCCAGTAAACTTGATTGTGCAGAAATCACCTCACCCCTGGTTACCCTTTTGGCCCTTTCCTGGACCTGCTTCCAGTTCTACCACATCCTTTGTGAAACAGTGGGATGGACAAGAGCTACACAAGGCATGCAAGGTATGAGTAGGCCATGGGCTTATGCACACTGTTTGGACAAAATTGCTGTGCACAAAATTTCTGTTTTCACAGAACCACCTATTGTAATTGCAACAGCTCATTGATGAGTAGCACTGGTCAGCTAGAGTCTACTATTGTGCAAATGACATGAGGACCAAGACTTCTCTCTGTTCTCACATACATTACCCATGTTTAACTACAAAGAACTCCACTTGCCACTTCATTGCCTGGCTATTTCTGGGACTCTTCATTAACCAGTAAAAACTCAGGATCATCAGCATACCTCCTCAGCTCATTCTCCACTCCACTTCCAAACTGCTACTGAGGTCCTAAAGATCCTTCTCAGCGCTCTCACCCCCTTAGTAACGTAAGGTTTCACTCTCCAAAAAACCACGTTTCCCCCTTCCGAACCAGAACTGTACCACCTGTTATCCTTCTCATCACTGGTGCATCACACAGCAGCACATCCTGGTCTGGGGTACTGGGCACTGCCCTTTACGATTCAAGATTCCATGGGGTTTCAGCAGATGAACAAGCCGAGCAGCAGACAAGATAACCATCAATATGAGAGCACTTACAAGGGTACCCTTTGCAGAGCACCTCAATGGGTGTTGACATCTTCTTCTCGCTGATCCTCTCATACTTCTGGCGCTTGGTGGCAGCCTTGAGGCCCTGCCAGGGCAGCGAGCCCAGGTTGAAATACATGAGCACATAACCCAGGCTCTCCAGGTCATCACGGCGACTTTGTTCTGTGAGAAGTTACAAAGGGGCAAGGAGTGAGCAGCAATCAAAAATACTCTGGCAGTTACATAGCTTTGGTGATAAACAATCGCTCCTCTCTCTTCTTTGGCAGATTTCTATGGATAGACAAACTTGTAGAAGGCATTCCAGTGCAAATTCCTGTGAGGACGGTCATATTACAAGAGTTAAAGTGCTCCTCTCCCCATATGGTCCCACCCACTTCATAACTAATGACTCTGACTACCTCCTCACTTGGACAAGCCTTAATTCACACAAGAATTCAACAGCTCAAGAAGTGCTGCAGCAACACTGCCTACTTTGCTCTTCCCAGTCCCAGAGGAAGGGCACCTACAGTTCTCCACCCAGAATGATTCTTCAATCCAGGGATTAGTCATGACAGAGGTAGTCACAGAAAGACAAGGCTAACAGAGGTTAAGCCCAACACAACCCTTTCAAACACATCTTCTAATTAAACTGCTGATACTCTTTAGGCAGGGCAGAAACAAGGAACTAGGGACCCCTTCTTGTAGTAAACAACTTTGTTAATTGTTTAGAGGAGCCTAACATGTAATACTGTGCAAAGATGCCTTTCCAGCTTGGTGGCATTTTTTAAGCTGTGGAGGAAAAGGGCATACTTTGAACAAAAGGTTCCCCTCCAAATGGGGAATGACTGTAAATGGTATCGCTACCAACTGTACTAAGAGCAAGGGTTGCCCTTAATATGATACTGCAATAAGCTTTTAGATGCTTACTTACGAAACAAAAAAAGTTGCCTCACAAAAAAAAAACCCTTTCGCATTGAACTTGTTCTCTGGAATGGCCAAGCCATTTTAAGTTTCAAGCTAGCTAAAGACAAATTTGATGCAGAATCCCAACATCTGCAAATGTTGACTGCTTAAGTTGTGAAACTCCTCCCAGCTCCTCCAGTATGCTTGCAAATTCGTCTATAAATCTTGCCAAGAAGCTCTTGCCCTTGTTTTCCTCCCAAATAAAATAAACACTTTGGAGAAAGTATTTTACATCTTGAGTAGAACAACCACTGACACAGATAACAGGCAGGCAAAATATGGCTTGAGGGAGAGCACAGGGATAGAGGAAGGACTAAAGAGAATCATCTACGAGATTAATTCACTACTACAGCACATTTTGCTGGATTCAGTGCTACATCCTGGAAGATGCTGCAGATTATGTGTTGGTCTGTGGGTTAACTGTCAGTATCAGTTACATGCCACCACCTACTCCATTCAAAGGCCAGTAGATCATTACAGCTACCCCTTATTCTGTTGGCTGAGCTAAACCCTGACAAAAGAGTAGCTGTAGAAGGTCACAGATACAGATGTCCAGCTGTACCAACACAACCTGAGGGTCAACATGGTTCTTTCTTCTTTCTGCATTTCTCTCATAACCTCCTAGTGTTCTGAGGACTGGAGGAGTGGCAAGTTAAAACTACCGAGAGGAAAAAAAAAAATAAAATAAAATAAAAAAAGCAAAGCGGTTGCAGAAGAAAAGGGTCTTATCCCTTCATAACTGAGATGTGCTTTAACTTTGGGTTAAAGCACATGAAACACCATAAAAAATGCCACATTCCAAGACAGGAACAGAGGAGAAAGCAGCCCTGCAGATCCCTAAAGTGTCTTACTTTGAGCATGCTGAAATAACAGCATTTTTTGACCTCGCTAACTTACTGCCTCAAGTTGCCCACTTTAAAGGGGCTAATACTTCCTAATCTTATCAGGCTACTGCCAAGGATAATTACATGATTGTCTAGGAGATGCTTAGATGTTATAGAGGGAGCAGAGAAAAGAAACTGACTTTGCATTTGGCCTCAGGTTGGGATACGTGTACTCTCAGAGGGCCGCAATTACTCATCATGCATATCAAATAAACAAAACTAAGTAATATTGGTAATGACCTACATCCTTAGACAGGAGGCATGTGGAGTCAGAAGGCACACCCAGGGCCTGAAAGTACAGGAGACAAGGGTAACCTCAGTCCGGCAATCTGGCAGCCCTTGACTTATCCATGCTGTAGCTTTAAACTGTCTAACTGCGGGTTCTTGTCTAGAGCGTGGTAGTGCACCTCAGAGGAGTAGAGAAAGGCAGGGCAGGAACCAGAGAAACCTACTGAACAAGCAAATCAGCCTTTCAGGAATAAATCAGGATCTTGCCTCCAAAATCCTGCTTGAACTCCAAACTGCTTAGGGCAGGCTGGATAACACACCTCTACTTGTGTGAAGCACAGCAGTTTTGAGCACAGTCACCACCCTTATCCAGAACAGGATATGTTCTGTGAACACATGCCTGGGCACAATCCTAGTGATTTGGGGAAGGCCTGAATTAGAGACTTGAGGTTAGGGAGCCTGAAGTCAGTGGGAGATGCTACAAGGTCTTAGTGAAGGCGATGAGAGGGGTTACAAAACCAAACTAGGAAGCTAACTAGTATCCATTACATGCATGCAAACACACCTTAACTGTGCCTTAACACAGCAACATGATCAAGGAAAAACAACTGCAAGCAAAACACCTAATTACTGAAATTCTGAATGAATAAGTGTTTGACTGCATTGCAGCCCCAATGTTTAGTACCTCATGTACATGAGGCAATTGTAGCCCACTTAAACAATTTCACCGATATTCAAATCTATGATAGGCCTGAAGTACCAACATGATGGGTCACAGATGTGCAGCTACCTCAAAACATTGTAGCAGTCTTTCATCTGTAACCCTAACAATAAGATTCCGATTTAAATCTTGGATGATTGTGAAGGACAACAGTTCCTAAATCCCGTTTCTTTGTTTCATCTTCAGTTACTATTACGCACCTCCCAATTTATTTTGCCTGGCCTCATATACCAACATTCCCAGGATACTTAATAACATTACATAGTAAAGAGTTAGAAATAAAACTACCTCAACGCACCAAAGAAACATTATTTAGTATCACTGCTTTCCACTTTTAGAAGCCTGACAATCAGTGACTAACTCTCACACCATCCTTGGTGTGCAGGAAGAAAAAAAATCTCACTTTGCAGTTTGAAAAGAGAAAGAGAAATACAAGTGACGTGAATGTACGCTCAGAGCAAGTTAGTCCAGAAGCTAGATTACAGTCATGACCTGTGATACTTCCTCTCTCCATTTTATTTCAGCTTCTCAGCTCTCTTAAAATGGGGGGGGGGGGGGAAGGTTTGAAAGACAATTTTATGAAAATGTATTTTTCATAAGACACTCATCCTTTCCTCCTTCTCTCCCAAAACCTCTTCCAATAGAAAACACAAGGTCACCTTCCCCACACAACCCAGCACAATCCCTCAAACCCGACCTCTCACTCTGCAAGCAATCTCCTGCCAGTTCCCTCCTCCCACTCCCAGTGAGGATCCGAGCCAGCCCACACCCTCACTCCCTTCACAAAGCAGGGTCCTCAGAAGCCAAGCCAGGGGTGAGTAGCAGGACAGGAAGAGACATGCTTGGGCAAAGACGGAAGACTGAGGACTGGTTGCCTTGGACGCAAAGTTCCTGATAAAACAAGTTTCTTCGCAGCCTAAACTGCCTTCTGGTCCCTCTGGCCAGAGAGAGTTTCCCTCCACTCTGATCCTGTTCAAAGTGATGCTGCTCCCCTGCAGGACTCCCTAGAAATCAGTTGTCTTCCCTGGAGCCAGCCCAGCTCTGCAAGCAGGCTTAACCGAGCAATGTTTTTCTCACTACATACTCAGATCTGATCTTGCACAAGTTACACTACAGTTCCCCTTTCTCTCCCCCTCCACTGCATGGCAACAGTCTTTAAAAACACACACAGAGATCTGGAATGGGTGACAGAGGCCAGGATGAGCAGGAGAACTTCAGGATCCGCACAGCCCACACTGATGCCATCTAGGACACGCACTTGGGAAGGCACCGCCCCCCGCCTCCCACCTCCTGTTACCCAGACAGAGCCCACCAGGCTTCTTCCAAGACTGTCTCCTGGGCACCCCGGGCATCTATTTCAGACTTCACAAGCTACAGTGGGTGAAGAGGACTCTCATCCCTAGAGCATGTGAAAATTGACTGGAATGCGTGAACCAAAGCCTGCACAGTCCAGTGACTCCCCCAATGGCAAGTCTCCAGCTGTGGAAACCCTCCCCAATCTCTCCTCCTACTTTTTTTCCCAGTCACTGGGAAAAGAATGTGTTTCCTCCAGACATTGGAATGCCCAACCCTTAGCTTGCACATTCAAATAAAGGCATTTACTCATTTGCTATTCCTGTCACACGAATACCCCAGCACCTGGTTCCTTCCCTCTCCCTAGAATGCATTAATGTAACATTAAGAACAGAGTTTAGTCTCTGAAAAGTCAAAAAATTCAGAGTCATGGTTCCCATGGCAATGCTGCTAACTCACAAACGTGTCTGTCATATACCCTGTGGCAAGGTCTTGAGAAACAAGAACTCCAGCTGAAACCCCAGCACCCCCATACCCCTTTCCTCCAGGCAAGTCATGTAACCTTTATGCTGCTCAGGGGAACTATCTGCAACGTGTAATACACCTGAGACCTGTTGTGCCAAGTAACTCACACCCAGACTTTCCCAAAGCAAAGGGCACGAAGAGAGCGGTGGCTGTGCTCAGACTCATGGCATATGCAATTTGCCCTTGGATTACTGCTTAGACATTGTTTGCTCGTCCTGACACACAAGCCAAGCACCAGTAGTAAGGGCCTAAGTTAGGGTGGGATGAATAATGAAGTCATTTGAAAACCACAACCAGACATTAAGCCTCTCGTGATCAGTTCAGGCAGAGCAGGCACATACAAAAGAATCGACAGACACAGTAATGATAATTATTTTGTGCATGTCTCGTTGTGGCAGTTTCCATGGCTGTGGAAATCTTGACTGAGAATTCAATGGAGAGTCAGTTATATATATGCAGGTCAAGCCAAAATACAGAAGGCCAACTTGGAAAGCTCTACAAGAAGTATTTTTACAGAGTGGAGGAGGTCAGGAGATCACAGCCCACTCTCAACACACAACACTCCCCATTTTTATATAAATAAAGCATTTTCCATCTACAGCTATATAGTATTAAGCAAAGAAGACAGTGGGAAACCACTTTATTTTCTGCAGGTCAAGTATTGACTCCAGATATCTGAGAAATATCTGCAGGAGGGGAGAGTGCAGGAAGAATGAGGTCATGGAATCCTGTAGAAGCTGCTAGTTTAAAAAGTCTGAGTTCCTTGCTCTGACTGAATTCTCAGGTTATACATTTCAGAAGAAGGTCTCCCAGAGATACAAACTGAGCTGCAAACACAGTAGCTAGTTTCCTGGGTCCACAGGCAAGACAGCTTCAGTGTTTCTGCTCCTTAGATTTGCCAATTAATAGCAGAACCAAGTCAGCCTGCTCAGAACAGACCGTATGGTCACTAAGGAAGCCTCATACTGAGAACAAAGTTTGGCAAAAATTTAGCAGAGGAAGGAGGTCAAACACTGGAAAGAAGCTTTTGGTCAGAGAACAGAAGAGAAAACTGCAAGAGGTTTTCAACTATGTTCCTCACAGCCACCAGGGGCTGATTCCCAGGACAAGAATTTGTGTGACTTCAAGAGGTTTGAGCACTGTGGGCACTAAACTGCTCAAGGTTTTTACAAAACCTGGGATGACGGTCAGCACCAGTGTAAGACCTGGCTAAACTCTCAGCATGCTTTCCCAGCCTAGTTTCATTCCCATGGCCCTAACCATAGACAATGAGGGCCAAGCCCTACCTCCCTAAAGCTGCCTCAGTGGTGAACAGGGTACTGTGGTTCACAGACACACAGGTATTTTGAAGAACCATGACAGCCAGTTCTAAATTACAGAACCTGGATATTCAGCCAGCTGGAAGCCTTCCCTCATTCCAGCTTCCTGTACACTTCCAGCACAGGTGGCTGTCCCCACCTTCAGTAGTGGACCATATTGCAGCGGTGCTGTATCCTCCGGCTCTGACAGCTACAGAATAATCACCGATGAAGGCGCTTGGGAGTCAACAAGAAAGGTTTCAATTGCACACATTCCTAAAAGCTCAGTGCCTGTGAATGTCTCCTTTACACATCTAATCAGCCTGCAAAAATTGTGCAAGGCAGATTCAGCAGCCGCAGTCAGGAAGGTCACAGCCTTGATGCTCAACAGGGCCCCGCTGTCCAAAGCAGCAAGTGCACAAACACATACTGCTGAGACAGTTCCTATCTTCAGAAGCTTGAAGTGCCACCAAAGGCAGGAGAGGTAACACAGGTGTAGCATTTGAGTTATTTGCCCACCATCTCAAGGCAAGTCAGTAGCGGAATGAGGCACAGAACCCAAATCCCTCCTTCTGGGGACACAATACCTCCCCTGGAAAGCCCCACCAAGGGGAAACAGCAGGCTCACCAATTCCCAAGTGGGTGTTGATAGAGGCATAACGGGCTGTGCCAGTCAGATTCTTGTTTTCCCGGTAAGGGATGTGCTGGTGGGTCCGGGCGTCTCGGTACTTCTTGGCCAAACCAAAATCAATGATGTATACTAGGTTGCCTTTTTTGCCGAGGCCCATAAGGAAGTTGTCTGGCTTTACATCCCGATGGATGAAGTTCTTGGAATGAATGTACTCAATACGGCTGATCTGGAGTGGGGGATAAATAAATAACTAGTGAGACAAGCAAGAAAAAAACCTTACCTTAACTGCATCTGTTAAAAATAGTACCCTGTCCCGGACACTGGCCTGTCAGAGTAGGGAAAAGGACACTTTGCAAAGAATATCAGAGATGACAGCCAAGGAAAAGACACCCTTTGGAGGCTGCAGGATCTGGAGATGGAATTCAACCCTGTACACCAGCCCAGTCCTCACTCAGGGGAGGTCATCATTAACACCACAAGGAAGGATGGCAAGCAAATCTGTACGGACTAAAACTTTGAGCTTCAGCATTGACAGCTGTCAGCTTTCAAACTTAGCCAGGCTGGGAAAGGAGGTGCTCTGTCCAGAAGAGCTAAGGGTCTTAAACACAGGGCATGGTAGGTAGTGATGCCAATCATTCATCATGCAGGCAAAAGTATCTATGTGTGCAACACTAACACAGGGCGAGCAGCAGGGGAAGGAAAGAGAGATGGAGATCAGGAAAAGTCATCAGTGTCTAGGTTCCAGGCCCCTAACTTCGTCGAGAAATAGAAAGCTGGCAGCAAATTGTCACTAAATGAAGAAAACCTAGGATACAGCAGTTCTCAAGAAGAGGAGATGGGAGGGAAAAAAAAAAAAAAAAAAGGCATGGAAAAGGAGAGTAGGCACAAACGCTTCAGAGGAAACTCACCATCTGGTCTGCCAGGAGCAGAACTGTCTTGAGACTAAATTTGCGGGAACAGAAGTTGAAGAGATCTTCCAGGCTGGGCCCCAAGAGCTCCATCACCATCACATTATAGTCCCCCTCTGCTCCACACCACTTAATGGAGGGGATACCCACTGGGGAAAGAGAAAGATTAAGCCCTTGGAACAGAGACTAGATGCTGCAACCCCTGCTGAGAAGATCACATGTAACACCAGATCATTTCTTTCCTCAGGCCCTCCAGAATAATCTCCTGCTTCAACCACTCCCCCGGCCCCATGTTCTCCTCCCCATCTCACCTCCTCCCTGCATCATCTTGTAGAACTTGCTTTCAATGTGGAGCTGGGGATGCTTGGTTTTGACACATTCCAGTTTGATGGCCACCTCTTCACCAGTTGCAATATTGGCTCCTGCATAGAAATGAGAAGTGAAATGAAGATTGCACAAGTTTCTGCTGAAGTTAAACACTTTTAACAAGGCCTGTAAAAATGCCAAAACTTTAAGATTTGCCCTGAAATTTATTCTCTGTGACAGAAATGAGAATCAGCCACTTCACAGAGAGTTTCCAGCGCTTCCATTTGCAAATGCAAGGCCAGAGAAAGGCATGAATAGGAAACCAGGTCTGACCCTGCAAGCCAGGCAAGCACAACAATCTTGCAACACGTTATCTTGCCTTGTTATCTCAAAAAGCACCAGACTTTGGGAGGTCAATCTGTATGTATCAACAGTACCTAAGCTGAGTGGAAGTTGTAGCTGTCTCTGATCATATACCCAGACCCTGAACACAAGTCACCCCTAGGCAGTGATACAGAGTATCTCTTCCCTAGCAAAATTACTAGTTACCTCAGTTACATCATTTCAACAGAGCCAATTAGTTCAGGAGGAGACATTACCAACATTCCCAGCTATCTGTTTTCTCCACAGCCCTGACCTGCTCAATACAGACAATTTCTAAATCCCCAGCTTCTCCCTCTCCTGAGGGCTTCAATAATACCTTTATCTTTTGCCAACACAGAAACATTTGCTATATCCTAAATTAGAAGCGTGAAGAAATAAACTGAATCCAGTCCTGAATTAAGCGGCCCAGACACCTTTGTTGAAGGGATTGCTAGATACTTTGTGACAACACTAAACCACCACCCTACACACTTCTCTCTAAAAACAACCGAGCTGCCAGCAGTGAAAGCCAGTGAAAGCACTCTGGTCCCAAAGTGCACTGTCAAAGAAGGAACAGGCTGCTCTCTCTCTCATAATAGCTGAAAGGATTCCAGATGTTTCACATCATCCTAAAATGGAAAGAATTAATATCTGTACACAGGTCATGGGAATGACACTCAAGTTTTGCTTCTCTCCCCCTCCCGCCATGCCTGCCTCACACACATACACACAGACAAGCTTTTCCTCGTATCTGGAACTATTAGAAGTTGCACTCAAACACAAATCAGAGCTGCTCCAATCATGAGCAATTTATGAACACTGTCATAAAATAAACTACTTCAGCCTGCCAAACATGAGCTGGAGTCAAAGGTGACGTTTTGTAGATATCCCATAGCTAGTTTTAGTAAGTCTGGCTAATTTGTGCCTCCTGAACCCTGTGATAAGACTTTAAGAGTCCACAAGGACAGCTGCAGATAAATCTCTCCACTTATCATCTTTCACACACCTCCTCCAGAGCCAGGAACCAAAAGAAAAAAAAAAAAGGAATTGTTCACACAACTGGATCCCTTCTCTCCCTGGATCCTAAGGTTCTCCTGTTGAAGAGTTCTGGCTTGTACACAAAGTTAGCCAAGAGCTGCCTGCTAGCAAAAAGACATAATCTAGATGCTACAGTGCCGGGTCGAGACAGACAAGCTGCTAGGAATTTGTAAGAGAGCAACAAAACTGTTCGGGGCCTAGAGGGATTGATTTACTAAGAAAGATTAAAAGAGCTAAATATGTAACATAGACAAGAGATACAACCAAGAAGGGTGGGGAGGAAGAATGGGACATGACAACAGTCTGCAAATATTTGAAGGCTGTAAACACTAAGGAGGGAGAGGAATTATTTAGGGTGCTCGAAGGGAGAGGAAGGAGGAGCAATGGGATTAATTTAATAAGGATTTTAACACAGGATCCAGCAGAAGGGAAAGGCAAAAAGTCATCCTCAGAGGTAGAACCAATGGTTACTTTTGAAAAGATGCTGCCATTTTCCACTTAAAAACTCCTTGCCAGAAAAACAAGACTGTACATTTCCCTCACTGTATCACAAGACCCTTCTTATAAGCATCAGGTGTGCAAAGAGGAAAAGAGCAGGTAAGGGGACTGGTATCTATCTTTTAAATTAGTGTTCAATCACTGGCCCTCAGTCAGCATGGAAACACCCAGGACACCCAAAAAAGGTAAGAGCGCTTCCTTCCCTCATTCCTTTCTCTTTCCCTTGCTTTTGTGAAGACTTTCCTCCAAATCTTCTGAAGCAGCTCCCTTGTCCATTTCCCAGGGGAAGTTTTTCCCTCTCCTAATCCATTTGCTGACACACAAATATTGGTGAGTCTTTCTGACTTTTGGCAGCATCACCATTTTGAATGAATGCTACCCCAGAAGCTGAACAGTGGAAAACATGAATGAGTTCTCATCTCCACATTACCATGAGTGTTTAGGAAGATGATTATGCATCCATCTACTAGGCTGTCTGCAGGTGGGGAGTGTTACCTGTGGGCACATAAAGCTGGAAAAGGGAAAGCAGGGGTAGGCATCAAAAAGACTTAGATTCTTCAAAATGTGAACATGCCACCCATACGTGCTCAGACGGCCCTCATCCCCACACTCTCCATAGCCCAAACACAGGTGTTAGTCTCTTAAAAAAAAAAAAAAAAAAAAAAAAAAAGAAAAAGAGGAGACAATCTTGTGGCCTAGAAGAGCAAAAGTGGAACCATAGGGTGGTTTGGGTTGGAAAGGACCTTAAAGGTCATTCAGTTCCAAGCCCCCTGCCATAAGCAGAGACACTTCCGTAGACCAGACTGCTCAGAGCCCCACCCAAACTGGCATTGAACACTTCAAGGGAAGGGGCATCTACAACTTCTCTCGGCAACCTGTTCCGGTGCAACACCACCCTCACAATAAAGAATTTCTTCCTGGTCTAATCTAAACCCACCCTCTTTCAGTTTAAAACCTATTCCCCATTGTCTTGTCACTAAACGGTCTTGCAAAAAGTCTCTCCTCATCTTTCTTGTAGGCTCCCTTCAGGTACTGGAAGAACAAAATTAGGTCACCTTGAAACCTTCTCTTCTCCAGGCTGAACAATCCAAATTCTCTCAGCCTTTCTTCACAGGAGATGTGCTCCATCTCTCTAACCATTTTCATGGTCCTCCTCTGGACCAATCAGACCTACTGAGGAGCTATTCTTTGCTGAGGGTGTCACTGACTGAACACTTTAGGCTTGCTCCCTCCCCAAACCCCACTGTGTCTACAGGTTGATCCCTCTTCCATTTCTTTGCTAGAGATACACCCAGATCGAGACCACCACAAGTGAGGAGCGAATTCAAGGGCAGGAATCTCTCTGGTCCTTTGTTCCATGCTGTAACCACCATCTTCCTTAAAGATATAAGTACAAAAGCAACAGTTCTCTGCTCTCTTTCTAGACTGGAAAGCACCGTGTTTCAGACAAATGCAGCAGAGTCTGCAAGCTTCAGCCACTTGAGAGACGTATGTAGGATTGGGGATAATTCCTAACATCCACCCCCAGTCTCGCTCCGCTGTGGGGGCTGCACAAATTCAACTCATTCATCATGAGCTCTTTGAAACGGGGCCCCGGGGACAGAGGATGTCACCGGCTGAACAGGATCTTTTCAGAGTGGAAGCCTGACTTCATGTCTGATACAATAAACACCGCCCTCCCTGTGCACAGTGGCAACAGGCAGGGGCCCCCACTCTCGGCACCACCCGCTCCCCTCTCCTCTTAACAGCCTGTCGAGGGAAGAATGGAGGGCTGGGAACAGATGGAAGAAGGCAGATAGGGCGAGAGAGAGTTAACAGGCCAGGAAACAAAGGGAAGGCACTCCCCTCCCAGCAAGGGAGGAGCCTGCCACCAGGAACTGTCCCCAGCCAGCGCAGGTCCCAGCATGCTTTGTCTGCCCAGCTCCTCTTCACCACCAGTGTGTATCCCGGCCAGACAATTCCTACCAGGTCCAGCAACCCTGCCCTGCCTCTTGGCCAACACCTCTGACAAAGCACCTCCCTCCAACAGCCCAAAAGTCTTGGCAATTCCTCTGCAAACTGGATTTTGCTCTTCTGAATGAGCAATTTTAGAGGTAAATGGGTTAGCCAAGGCCCCTCGGCAGCATGATGTCATTTCCCACCCTCCCAAATCAATGTGGGGAGAATATCCCTGCAGCACATCTATCCCCCAAAGTACACATGGAAGGAAGGCATTGTGCTTTAAGCCTCAGCTGAGGATTAACACAGTCCATCCTTTGTGTCTACCTATGTAAAAATCCAAGTTTCCTTCTGATAGAAAAAAACCAAAAACAAATCCCGAAGAGCACAAGCATGCAGCACACACTGGTTACAGAGCAGGTGAAGGTAGTAACATCCTGAGAGAGAGAAGCTGAGGATAAACCATACAGACCCTGCTCATTCCCAGAGACAAACAAGGCCTGTCTGTCCCTGCTCTGTCTCCACACCATTATCAAGAGAGAGAACTGTGAGGTGAATTTGGTGCAGGAGAGAAGTCCTCGTGAATGAGCCCTTCTGTCTGCACAGCAGGCCGTGAGAGTACAGCATGAGCACAAGCGTCCTCCAGACGCACCATCAGAGACTACATGCCCGATCCCTCCAGGCTGGGGAGTCACCCAGGCTCCAAGAAGTCTTGCTATCACTGCTTCAAAACACGCTGGCTTGCACCTCAATGAATATCACTGGCTTTGATACTGCATTCAAGCAACTTGGTTGATTCCCTCTGTGCTCACCACATTAGGGCACTGGGGCTTCCTCTGCCTCTCATGTTGTTTGGTTACAGGAAAGGCAGGCACAACCCTCTCACCAGAGCCTGTCTTCCACACCTGCTCTGCACAGGTGGATGACCTGTTATGTAGTGCAGAGGAATACAAGATCAGGCCTTTCCATTCAGTACCTGTTTTCTTTCCCCATGTGTACCTCCAGATGTTTTGCAAGATCCTGACAATTTATACTGTCCTACAGAGAGTCTGGAAGGCTTCAAGCCTTACCACAGGTGGAAAATGCTGTGTCTGGACTATCAGACACTAACTGGCTGGAGGGTCACAGAGGTGTGGCATCCAGGAGCAGGCAGCAGTAAGGCAGCACACAGCAGAATTGGGATCCCAGATCCATTATTTATCATCTTTGTTCATGCTCTGGATAAAGGTGGCAACAAAGCCTGTTACTGATGATTCCCACAGGACACTTAATCAAGAGAGGCTGCCAACACCAATCAAGAGAGAATAATAAAGCAAGAGGGAACTGGAGGTAAAAGCCAGAGGTTGAAAACAGACAGTGATTTACAAGCACAGGAAAAAGTAATCTGAACTAGAGGTATTCAACAAAAGGGACTCAGGGAGGGATGGAAAGATGTTGGAGATCCTAGAAGAGGTCTTCTACAATACAGCTGACAGTGTGCTAAGGCCAATCCTGCAACCTGATAGTGCTGGTGATGGGGAAAGCCAAGGAGACCCAAAGCAGCCTATGCAGAGGCATCAAATTACAGATCACTCGAGGGTAGTCCTTCATTGCCAGGCACTGGAAATGCCACACATCAAATGCAGTGTTGGCTCCAAGCTGCTCAGCAGATGGACAAACTAGGAAAAACCGAAGGAGCAGCAAAAGTGAGGAGTGGTGTATGTACTGGGAAGCAAAATACAACTCAACTGAGCAAATTAACAGTCAAGGAGCACATGACAACCATCTATAAGTCCCCGAAGTCTCCCAGACACCAAGGGAGAGGGCAGTCATTCTGCTGGCCTGCAGGACTACAGCTAAACAGGTAGTGGTGAGAACCAGATGACAGGTAAAGCCACACCAAATCTCACGGAGGGATCGATCAGGCTACCGGGTAGTCTCGCCACTCTGGCCCCACATGGTTTGAGCCAATAAAAACATGAGCAGGCAAAGCATCAGGGTACATCAGCACATTGGCTTGGAAAAACTTCTACCCAGCTAACCTGCTGCGGTAACAGGAAACCCAGTGCTTCATAGGCTCTGTCCACTGAGCTCCCAGCTCAGGTCATTCCAGACATTAACTCTAAATCCCATTACAGATCTAACAGATCTAAACCCCAGGACTTCAACCACACCAGGCTCTCCGACCTGTTTTACACCTCCAGGTCTCACACCTCTCTCTTAAAGGTCTGGAACACTTTTTCCACTACTAATCTTCCCAAAACTTCATTCCTTCAGCTATGCCCTCCCTTTCCACCACCCACTCTTTGTACAGGGTTTACACCCACACACCCAAGCTCAAGAAAAGGAAGTGAGAATGCTGGAGTAGCATATATGGCAAATACGTCCCAAACAGTCCAAATCTAAATCAGTCTAATCAACTACCACTGTGTCTCCAGTAACCGCAAGGCAAAGCTGAGCTCATCCCACTTTTCTTTGCCATCAGAAGACTGGCAGCAACTAGCAGTATTCCTTGAAGCTCTTTTTCTCTTCTCCACCCCCTCCAACCTTACATGGTGCCCACAAATACCAACAGGCAAAAAAAACAACCCTGGAACAATGATGCAATTGAGAAAAACAACCTGGCAGGTGGAAGGACAGACTCTCACACTCACCTAGGTAAATGTCTCCAAATGAACCGCTGCCAATCTTTCTGCCCAGCCGGTATTTGTTCCCTACTCGAAGCTCCATGGTTCAGTCGTGCTGAGGAAAGAAGCACAGAAAGCACAGTCAGAGCAGAAACAGGAAGTGAATCATGGAACACTACAGAAGAAACCTCCCCACTTCACCCAGAGGCTGAGTAGTACAGTTTTAAATCTTGAAATACGTCACTTTCTACATGGCCTCTATCACCTCTCCTATCTCCTGAACATCCAGGGACAGCATGAGCTAGAAATGCTGCAGGAACACAACACTCTCAAGCATGTTTTCCATGTTCCCATTATTAGAATGAAGAAGGATTGAATCTCTTCCCCATTGTTTTGTTCAGAGACTGGGGAGGGGGTGAGGAAATCTTCCCTAAGAAAGTTTCAGTGGATGACCATGCTACACCATTGTAAAGAGGTACTGCTCCTTGCACCTGGCACCAGGACAGAAGTAACCTCATGGGACACCAGAAAGGACAGGCATAATAAACCCTACGAGAAGGAGTTGCTCTCTGGCCCAGCCCTAGTCCAACACCTTGGTGGTGATGAAGCACAGGACCCAAGAACTGCAAGACAGACAGACTGCCAGGAGCAAGCGACTCCATCACTCATAGGAAGAGGCTGGCTCAGGGGACAGGGAGGAGACATCTCGCTGAACTGAACCCTTCGAGGCACACACTGACTAGGAACAGCACTTGCTTATCTCCACAGGCTTCTGCCGATGGGATCACAGCCTCCTTTGGTCTACGTGAGCCTCTCCATCTCTGTTGCCTACCTAGGTGTGCCGGCTGTTTGTTTTTAGCAGCTTGGGCCTTTCCTCATCCCTTTACCTGAGGTGATTAGCTAACCCTTTGACCCGATATACCCCATCAACATGCCCAGGCTTAGCCTCCTCACCCTTCCACAGAAAACCAGCTAAGTGGAAGGACCACAGCCAGAGACTGTTCTCCCTGCCAACCTCAACTTCTGTAGCAAACACCTCTTACCAAACACAGTTCCACCAGTTCACCCTTAGCAGACCACTTTCCCTCACCCCTTCTTATGCCACCAACTTATTCTAGGAACCATATCTCTTCTCAAGATAGCCAATGAGACTTCTCCTTTCAGAGGGATTTGCCACAGTCCTAATTTATGCAATGCCACATTATTAGCGTACAAAATGCAGACACAGAGCCTGTTGGGGACAGGAAAGGTGAGGAATGATTCATGTTTTCTCAAGTGGGTGAGAGGAACTTTCCCTTGCTGGAGCTTGGTGGGAAGGAAGCATCACTGAAGGAAAGAAGGGAGGAACGGCCTTATGAGACATAAGTACAAAAAAAAATAATCCCAGCTACAGGATTCTGGGCATACTATAAACCCAGAGCTGCTTCTCCTGCCCCAGGAGATGGGATTACAGAAAGAAGAATGGACGGACTGTAGAGATGTACAGGGAAATAATCCTATCAAGGCATTCAGGGGACATTGTGAACCCTGAAAGTAGAGCTCCAGTCACCAGAAACCACACACAAAACACTTAGAGGTGGAGTTCCCTCACCTAGTATTTACTTATGCATGTGGGTTTCTGTGCATCCAAAGTCGACAAAACCCTGTGGCTATTTCTGACTTTCTTACTACAAGGAATGTAGGCAGAGCCTTGGGAACCAAACCAGGAGGCAGGCGTACCTGGGCGAGGGCACAGCAAACAGACATGATTTTTATCCGCTGCCTGCTGTTCTGTATAACCACATTAACATACATCTGACTTGCTTACACTCCTACTCCAATAAACGATCAAAGGTCTGTGTCCCCGGGAACCCGTCACACCACTGTTAAGAAGGCAGCTCTCGAACCTCCTTCCTTCATGGTGTGTTTACCCAGGCCTGTGAACCCTGAACACTTCCACTTGAGTCCAACTCCCAGATGGGGTGAGCACAACCGAGCACACAGCAGAGGCTGGGCAATAGGTCCCTGCGGGGTCTCCTCTGCACCAGGGCACAGTGGGTACTGCTCTGCAACACCACAGCCCCAAGCCTAAATTCGGTCCCACCCTTCTGGGACAGGCAGGAGCCAGGTTAGAAGAGTTTCTCACACATGGAGGCAGCAGCCCTTCTAGCTGATTAAGCAACAGGCTCCAAAGGGGAATCTAAAAAATGCTCTGGGGCGCGGGGGTGGAAGCGGGAAGCAGGATAATGGAGTAAAAAAATCATGGTCTCGCACAGCTGTCATTTTGCCTTATCTCCCCCCCCAGCACACACATACAAGTGTGCGTAGAAAACCTGTGTGGAGGATAGCCAGGGAGCAACAGCCTGGATTCATGGTCATGGGGCAGGACACACATCCCACCCCCTCAACAATTGCTTCAGGAGTTCAAACACCTATCACATTTGCTTCTACTTCACACACATATCCCCGCCATCTACAGCTTCCACCCCTATAATCTGATCTTCAGGTCTACTGTTATAAAAAGAAAGAAAATTTTACATATAAAATATATATTCTTATATGTGACATTTATATTACTCCCTATTTATTATTTATATGCG